TGAACTGTTTGAGGTCTGCAACAACTAAGGGGCAAAGTAAACTTCAGACTCCATTTGTGGGAAAATAAGGTTTTTGGAATCAGAGGCTCCAGGGATTTCTGTCTGAGACCTTGTGCAAGCTCGATGTTAATTTACCTGATTGCAGAGATTGAGACAATAAATCTCGGTGTGGTCAGGAGCCCATGAGGCACCAGGGCTGAGAAGGACTGTAGCCAGGGTCAGTGGGGCTGCACTCGAAGCACGGGCCCCAAGAATGGAGACAGACAGGGGACTGCCCGCTGCCCTCGAGGGCCAGTCTGAACGGGGGGGCCTTGATGCATGTTTCCCCAAAATCTTAATGTTATCATTCTAATAACTGAATTGTACTATCATGAGAGCCTTATGATGAGGTTTCTCCCTGGGTCTTTTCTCAGCCAGGAGTGAGGTTGCTTGAGATTTACTTTTGTTGCTGCAATTTATTAAAGGGTATTTCAGTTTATCCAGTGTGTATGACAAATGGCGAGGGAGGTTATGGCCAGAACTTTATGACTCTTAATACTAAACAATTAGGCAAGAAAATGAGGAATGCACCTTTTGGAAAACATCAGTCATTTTAAATGCACACAAGTTTATTGTTGATGGATTTTTTTACATACAATCACAGTATTGCCAAAACCCTTTAATCAGAAACTGATTTTTTTATAATGTATCATTTTCAGTGTCTAGGTTTTTTAAAGAATTTTTCTTGATTTTTTTTTTTTTTTAAACTTTCTTTCTGTTTAAGTCTTAATCCTGTCCCTTACCACTATTTTTTGTGCCTAGTTTTAGGAGAATTTTCCTTGTCTCCACATCCACCAATGCCATTTCCTGCTTTGAAAGTGAATAAGTTATCTACTCTTTGAATACAACTTTATCAGCAGCTGTAGCTGCTTTTGAGCACATATCTTATGGTGATACAATAATTATTTACTTGCTGGTAAGAAAGTAATGTAGGACTTTGCCTTAGTCAAAATACGTAGCATCTACTGTTTATTTCTCATCTGGTTGGGGTTTTACACTGTCAGTGACCTAATATGTTTTTGAAAAGTCCAAATTTTAGTAAACTTTAGCTGTTAAGGGTTCAGAAATGGGTAATGTATTACAATTGTTCAATCTAGACACTAGACCTAGAAAGATTAGAATATAGAAAATTTCAGCTTGTCCCCTATTCTGAAAAAGGTAGATCTTCCCCTTACTGTAGTCTTCTGAGACTCCTCTGCCTTATGTGATTCTTTTTTTTTTAAAAAATAACTGCCCATGTTTCAAAGGTTACTTGAATTAATATTTTTTCTGTGTATAACCTGCCCTTCAGGTAACTGGCACTCATTTAAACATCATGCAGATAATACAATACTTTTGATAACTCTTGCCAGTTATATACTAGATACTACAGAGAGTTGGAGAGAGATGAGAAAGAGAAGTATGAGATCAAAAATGTCATCATAATATTTACATGTGCAAATAACTCACAGTGCTGAGGAGGCAGGAGTCATTCTTTAGTTGGTCAGGCTTTTTGTTTTCTACAAACAACACAGTTTACCCCCATCAAAACACAACAACTCCTAAAGTGTTCTGTGGTGAATTTCATCAGGCCTCTGACCTGAACTGTCTGACCTCATACAAATATTTCTCTTCCTGTTTGTTCTTTTTTTTTTTTTTCCCTGTACTTTGCCCTGAGGTCTTATCTTCATGTCAAAATTAATTTTGGGCATGCTCACAGAGCTGATTGCAGGCTGACTTGAACTTTGTTCCCAGTGGGAGCCAGCTGGCCAGAGGCCAGCTGTGGCCACGTTGCTGTGCTTCAGCTGATGAGCAGAACTTCTCAGCAGGTCCCATTCAGCGCACCTCAGCACCAGGCAGGCAGGGTCATGGCCAGAGTTCAGAGGCAGCTTGTGCCTTCCCAGTTCAGAGCATCAGCCAGGAGAGCTCACTCCTGCGTCTCATTCCCTGGGCAGAAAGACCTTTATCTGACCACAGTCTCCCTTCTGGAGATTCAAGCTAGGAAGACATTTAATAATCTTCTGTATTTATCTGTACTAACTGTTATTTGAGCCCCTTTCTCATATTGTAATGTTTGCCTTTTGCTGGGGTTTCTTTTTCGCTTACCTTATAACATATTACTGAAACCTTCTATAATGACTTGTTGTGTGCTTTGCTAATTAAAACGCATGTTCTCTTCTAACCTTTCTGCTTTTATCTCCGGAGGCATGGTGGTGCAGGGAGGCTTAGATTCATCCTTAGTAGCATATGCATTAATTTGTGCTTTTTCCATGATCTCTTTTTCATCTTTAGTTGATTGAAGATTGCCAGTGTGGTTACACTGGCCTGTCACTACACTTTGTCTCTAAAGGTATTTGAACATTTAGTATGGTTTCTTTCAATAACTGCTATCTCCCATCTCTTTGTCCCTTGGTTGACTTTCCAGAGAGACATCCTCTGCCTGTTTTCTGAGCCTGCTGGCCCTCATGCTCTTGTGCTCATCTTTGCAGAATACCAGTCTCATCCTGCAGTTGTTTTAACTCCAAGTAGCACACACCTGCAAAATCTTGCTCAGGTATTCTCTAATGGGACAAAATCTATTTTATCTGTTCCCTCAAAGTTTCATTTGGCTTCGTAAAGGAAAAAATGTCCTCCATAAATTTTCACAGTTCTCACCACTGGTCTGAACTGAGCCCCTCTGTTAGAAGCAGGTCCTGACACTGAGACATGCCTTTTTGTCCTTTAGAAAAGCCTTGGTCACCTCTGCCTCCTAGTGAGCTAAAGTGACATTTCACAGCATTGAAGATCCTGCCGGGTTTCCCATATTCTGGTTAGCACCCATTCTCCCTGCCCCACTGTTGTGTGAGTCCAAATAAAAATTTAATGTGTTATTTTAACTAAATATCAAAAGCAGTAGTATCAGATTTATGTTTCATGGATATAATCATTCTGAGAGCCTCTCAGAACTATTTCTTGCAGTATTCTTGCTGGCTGGGCATAGCTTTTTATTTATGTATGAAACAACAGAGTCCTTCTCTTGCATCATAAGCATACAGTCATGAATATGTAGTATTTCCTCATAGTCTGATGTGAAATGAATGCGAAAAGCAATTTTGGGATTTGTTCAAAATCAGAAGACAGAACCTGGTTTTTGACCTCAGCTGGGATGGAAATATATTTAATTTGTCAAGAGAAATACGCAGTATATACGAGGAGTTTTAATATGGAAATTGCAGCAAGTATACCCACAATTGGAAGAATTTAGCGCTCTAATTCTGAAAGGGCTCTTCCCCTGCACCTTTCTTCAGCTGTCCTTCACCATAACTGCTAGTTCCCCTTAAATAAAACCTCAGCCCCAGCCAGTTTCAGCTCAGGAGCTGCATGAGCGAATATGGTTTCTATGTATTTGGTAACCCTCACTGCATTTTTTTCCAGAAGCTCAGCTTGAACCTGTAAACAGAGGTTAAAGTTACTGTCAGCAGGAAAATGGTATAGTTGTGCTTTTCTTCTTGGGCCTCTCCTGGAATACACTTCATGCCTCCAAGAAAGGACTGTTCTTCCCCGAGTTTGAAAACTGTATGTTTAGATGATGGTGACTTTATGCATTATATGATTGACATTGTTAAATTACTTTTATAGCTTCTTGTTTCTCCAGGATTTGCTGAGTGCTGCCATTCATTCTTTAGCGGTTCCTCTTCTTTCCATTTGTGCTTATACTGGTCACTTTGCTTTCAGTGGCACTGTGAAGGAAGAGTTGGTAGGAGAATGACTTATTGCTGCTCCATTAGAGAGCACAAAACAATTTACAAGAAACGCATCTCAGCCTTTGAAATTAGCTTGTGATGGTTTCTTTTTTACCCTTTAACTCATTGCTTATGCTTGATAAATAGCAAGTTCTAAATTGCTCCTGTTAAAGTTGATGGGTCATTGTTACAACAGAGAGAGATTTGTCACAATATATATTTAACCCGACAATAGGTGTGAATGTGTCACCCTGCAACCCTGTTGGTTTCCAGATTAACATTAAAACAATTTTGAGAGAAGTGGGCAGCAAGAGAGGTTTCTATTTTTGCAGCTGGGAGATCTTTGAGAAAAAACAATATGAAACAGAGAGTAAAGCAGAAATTTTTCCTAAGTAAGAACCTCTGTTTTGAAATACCACTCAGACCAATCCATGTATTTAATGAGATTAATTCAACTGCTCAAATAATATATAATTCTCTGTATGTGTGTATATATGTATATATGAATGTGTTATATATAAAATATTATAACCCTTTACATTTTAACAGAAAGTTACCATTTTAAAAATTACGTTATTTGTATGAAAAATGCCTACATGGTCTTACGTTCTTCATTTGGTTGAAGGGAATTATTGTAACAATACTTTTAGCGCAGTTTTAATAAGCGTAGTATTGAACTAGATATTGATATTTTTATTGGGTTTCCAATAAAAAAAATGACATTTTAAATCACAATTGGTAAACAATTAGAGAAAAAATAGACTTCAACAAATGACAAAAACTTTGATAACATTGTGAAAACAGGTTGTGTTTTGTGGCATTTTTAAGCAAATAACTCATAGAGTACTGAATATTAATATATACTAATGAAAACTCTCTGAAGTCAAGAACTGAATGTACCCCAAATATCTTCTGTCTTTTCACCTATTTAAACTGATCCTTCAGGACATATGAGAGGTATGTTGCTAGGGGAGATAAAAAAGACAACCTCACTACCTAACTTTGTGTTTTTTGTTCCCTTAACTTTAAGAATAAAAAGAACACTTTGTTCTTCTTTTCAGTGCCATTCTGACACTAGTGCAATAAACAAGCATACAAATGTAATTTTCTGTTTTGATGCCTATTTCAAAATTGTCAAGTTAACAATATAATACCTCTACAAAAAATGTAAATTGATTCTGAAAACCAATATCAATCCAAGGGCTGTATAATGCTTGCATTGTCTAACTTGAGTTCCCTGCTTTTTTGTTTTGTCTATAGACACCCTATTTTTGGCCATCAAATTGTTGGGAGCCGGAAAACACAGACTATGGTCAGTGTAGAAATCTTTCCTATTTCTTTCCGGAATTATGTATTATACGAATGAACACATCATTACAGTCTGTCTTGTTTAATCATCCCACTGTTAAAACATAATTATATGTCATGTAATTCATGTACAAGAATTGCTGGTATTGAAATGAATGTGTTGTTACCTTTTTTAGTTTATTAGAGTCAGATTAGGAGTTGATCTGAGGAAAAAGGAAAAAGCCTCAAAACTCATCAAAACCTACCTTGCCATTTACATCTCCTGTTTGCTCCAGGAAGTGTAATTATTTACAGTGACAAAGTCTCAGTGAAGCAGAGGACACTTTATTGATGGTTGTGCGGTAGTTATTCTCAGATTCAGACCCAAAGATATGCCTAGTTTAGATCTCTTATTTCTGATATACACCGTGTGGAAAATTATTTATTTTGAAAACTAATATGGTTCTAATATGAACTATATTAGAAAATACCTTGTTTATTTGCCTGTTTCCTGTGTTTTTCTTAATAAATTACGCATTGTAATTACTGATGTGTACTTAGACAGGAAAAGCTGAAGATAATAGGTAGTAAGTTATTTATTAAAAAAAAAAAACCTTATTAAAAATGATAACCAAAATTAGGTGCCTCTGTACACCTAACAGTGACCTAATTTTTAAAGAAAATGTATTATCTGTGAGCAGTCTCCTGTTCATTCTAATCCAGATTGTGAGTACTCAGCTCATCTGAAGATCAGGTCACTTATTTGGGTAACTATGCATGTACATGGTAGGTTACCTTTTCAAAAACTCAAACTTTGAAAGTCTCCATTTATGGCTTTTCAGAAATCTAGATGCGTGTTCACTTGTCATATGGATTCAATCTCAGTCCTTGGGAGCTGAAAACCACAGGAATGGATGGTTCCAATAGACGCTTCCTTCCTTTCTGCAGTGGACACAGTTTAGTTTCAAATACATTGCTAAATAAAACAATTTCAAGCTGAGACTCTCAGCAGAGCTGAGTGCCTTCAAGGTAGTTTTAAAACCGTGACCGTTTCTTCATCCTATAGAAAGAGAAAAATGTTCTTCTTTCTTTAAAATACTGAGATTTGAAGATGTCCAGCAAATAGTTATTAAAAGCTACAAAGGAGGATGAATTCATACCACACCTGAGTGATTAGCCACTCTACATGAGGAAGTTAGTCACTGAAGAAGTGCTTGATTTACCACTTAATACAATGGTTTTTCCTTTCCTTGAAAGTGTTACTTGCTTTTCTCAGAGGGGCACGTCAGTATAGTCTCCTAATACATTAAAGATCATAAAGTAATTTACGATGGTTTTAAGAGATGTTACATTGTTCAGCTGTAATGTGTATTACATTACCAGGGGGAATTTAATAAATATATGCTTAACAGTTTTGAACTTGAGATCAGGCTAAGAAAATTTCTATTAGTATCCTTTAATCTAAATTAGGAGACACTAACTTTCTAGTCACAGCTGATCACTGGATGGGCAATGAATTCCATACTTTAGTCAGTAAATAGAAATGCTATATAATCTGTCCAGTTTTTGCATGCCAGAAATACAGAATTATACTTGAGATCTCTTTCTTCATCATGCAGGGAGGTGCCTCTGTTGAACAGTAAACATACTCGTTTGAGATCTTTGGAGATTTAAATATAAGACCTGTGAAATATGTTCCATTTGGTGAATTTAAGTTCTTCGGTTGCGGAGGGGTGAAGGAAGAGAAAGCCCCAACCCTCCCATTTCATTGCTCCTTACGAGTCATGAGTGGAAGGTGCAAGCCTCTGGGAAATCCACCCATAGTTCCCCCGTGTAACAGGGTCAGAGCATTGTACTACATCTACCTAAGGTGGCTGTTTGTCGCCAGAACTGGCTAATGCTAAAGCATTCACAGGAAAAGAAATTTTTAACACAATTTACCAATAATGTTCTTGTTAGGTTAGCATCTTCCCAGTCCCAGAAATTAGCATTTGCTTTGTGGCCTGAGAATTTTTTCCTGATACATTCCTGTGAATATAAAGAGAGGACAGATAAGGGCAGAACTGAATACAGCTGCTTGCAAAAAAGGATCACATAACTGTTGTAAACAATGGTTGTCAGAGGAATACAGAAAAATCAAACAGGTAATATTCAAGAATCCAGAACAAATCTAAAGTAGGATTGAAACAATTTCAGGATATTAACAGATAAATTCCACCTCAAATACACTCCAAAGAGGTTCTACAGATTTTCACAATAATTCTGTTACTTCATAGAAAATATAAATAGAATTTATGTTATTACAGAAATGCAGATGCATCTTGCACTTGTCATGTATTATGGTACTGTGCAGTGTGTCCCTTTTCATGGACTTGTCTTGAACAGTCTTGAAGCTGCGCCCCCTAAAACTAATGACTGTGGCAGGCATTAGGAGTCTCTCAAGGCCAGCAAGAAGTAGGCTTTCTCTGTAATCTTCCTTTATCAAAGTTATTAACAAAGCAAACAAATTTCTTTGGCATTGACTTAATTTTACAAGTCTTTGAAAACACACTAAAATTTAATTTTAATTCAAAAATTACTCCCAAACATTTACCATTCCTCACCCATAACAAGGCTACTGTCTAGAATGTAGCATACTGCCAGGAAATTAATCTTAAACTAGAAGCTACATGAAATTGAGATACTACATGTGTTAATTTATTTGTTTCTGAGTTAGTTTGGGTAATATTCTTTACATCTTCGTATAATATGTTAATATCGTCTCTAAACTATAATTTCTTGTTCCACATGAATTATATAATAATAATAATTATTATTATTAAGGCAAATGTAGTTCAAATCACTTTTCATTTCCTGTGAGTTAAGTCATGTTCCAGAATTATGATTTAGTTTTATGACAAATTGAATTGGATCTCAGTTCAGACAATTGACTCTGGAAATGAACGCAGCTAATGACTGAGCATGTGACCTACCTGTAATCATCTTCTCTTCTCTTACAGATGTAATTTTGTAACTGATAGAATTTTTTTCTGGCAGATTAAAACCAGTCATCATGTCATTGAGAATTAATTAAATATGGAGACTTGTTAAGTCCATTGCATTTCAGAAAGGGGAAATATAATGCCACAAATGGAATTGTTATTCCATATGCATTTGGCCTCAATTTTTGTGGAGCCAGTCAAGTTCTCTTGGAAGTTTAGTGACTCACAGCTGTTGCAAATTTGAGGAATTCAGTTCCTTAGTGTTCTCTTTTTTGAATGAGATAAGAAATATGAAAGGTTAAGGAAAAATTCCATTCACAACAAAATAGCAATTATTGTTGTGTTTGAAAAGCTCAAGACTAACCCTAAGAAAACAAATGAACGTAGTTATGACAATATAAGCAGCTTACAAAAATTTCAGACATATAAGATACAAAGAAAAATCAGTAACTTTCTCGTTTTCTCTAGTGCACGTTTGTTGATGGTTAGACTCAAACGTGTCCGTGACACACAGACCTTTTCTTACAGTAAGCTGCATAGTAAAAAACTATGTTCAAAGGAGAGACAGAATAAAATTTTGAAAGTGCTACAGTCATTTATAGTGTTAAGGAGGTTTGGACTGACACTAGAAGATAAGTCAACTGCATCTATATAGTTGCAAGAGCATGCTACTTCAGCCTTGTAATTTTATGTGTGTGCATTTCTCCCAAATGAGTTAAAAATGGAGGAGGATTGCAGAATCTTGGTAGGTGATGGAGAACACGGTAAATAACTGATAATGCAACATGAGTGGAAGAGCACATGACTGTGTGATCTGTAAATGATGCTAATTAGACTATTTTTCTATATATTCAAAGCAAATTCTTAAATTCTGCTGCTGTGAAGAAGGACAGGTTTTGAAAATGTACATATTTTCAGTAGCCTTCCAGGTAAAGTCATCTGATGTAAATGAAGTCTTCTAGGAAACTAGAGCACTTACAGGAAAAAGGAAAAAAAAAAAAAAAAAAAAAAAAAAAAAAACCAAACAGACAATTGCTCCTTTTAAAAATGTAAGTTCCCCATCTGGATAAGTGCTGCCTGTAAACTTCTGTGTCAGTTCTATAGATATTAATGATTGTTACCCAGTCTGAGTTACAGTAAAATAAAGAAATCATCTACTTTTGCCATGTGGAAGTTGCTGTCTCATAGCTGTTGTTCTCCAGCATTTTTATGAAAGCAAAAGTCTGTCCTTGTTAAATTTTCTTGATAATCAGCTAAGAAGTCAGTCCATATAAAGTTTCCTTTCTAATGATACCTTCTTATTGCTTAAGAGTAAACTCAGAGATGTCTTAGAGCAGCAGAGGCTGAACACAGTTCTGAACACTAGCCATTGCACCTGGCTCAACTGCCTCTCCTCTGCCAAATTTGCAGTCATGCTGAAGAGTACACAGTGCGCAAAAAGTAATTGCAATCCTGTATCATGTTTTTCACGTATTGAAAATCTTGATATATTTTTATCTTTAGAGTTTCTTGCCTACTTACTTTATGTGCCTAGCTTCAAATCCCCCTATGAAAATTTGATTAGTTCAGGAATTTTCTCTCAGTCTTGCTGCACCTTTTCCATGGAGTAACTGACTAGAAGGAGAACTGTACAGAGGGTGCACACTTTCTTTGCCCAAATGCTCAGGCAGGATTCCCTTGGCAACAGCATATAAGTAAGCAAGTTGTGTTTGAGAACCACTAAGCCCTTACCTGAACTCTGCTGGAAAACTCCATGTGCTCAGCATTTCTGGAAATCAATCTGTAAGTATGAGTCAGTAGCTTGGAGCAAAACTGGTAGCAGAGTGGCATTTTCTTCAATCTAAACTGTTAGATTCAAGTTAAAACTTATTTGTTAAAATACGTGCCATGAGAATGAGGAGAAATTTACCAATACAGTGTAAATAGTTAGTGGCGAGCTCTGCAGTTCTATAATCTTGAATCTTGATGCCAAGTTCCCATTTTTAAATCAGCTAGTGTCAGCCAGAGTACGTCAGCCATGACTCCTGCAAACAATCCTTTTAGG